AGGCTAAGAAATTGCATGTAACAATTCTTAATACATTAATCTTAGCTGACGTGTTTTGTTTTATTTTGCTTAATAACTTACTTTGATCTGTCTGCTATTACTTGCAACCACTTAAATTCTACTTTTTATACTTAAGAAAATCACTTTTGTTTATTAAAAAACTCAGTGTAAATAATTGTTATGAGGGGAACAGCACCTGTATATATCTCTCTTTCATTGTTAAAGGGGATGGGCAACTTATATGCTCACTGTGTATAAATTTTATACATAGTAAGACAGATATATATGGGGTTTTGGTCCCAGTGGGGCTGTGCACCTGGGTGCTATGTCAAGTCTTTTTGACTGAGCCTTCCCAGAGCTGAGTAGATCTCAGTGTATTGCTCTACTCTGGACTGTGGCTTTGACTTTGTACCAAGTGTTCGGGATTAGCAGGAGAAGGTGGTAAGGTGCCCCAGAGGATAGACAATATGATCAGTGCATCAGGCAACATTCTCAAGGGGATCTCTGTGACCAAATCCATCACAGAGTGGAACCTCTGTCACTTAAGACAGAACGGGCAAGTAGCTTTGGTGTAGAACTAGAAATCCTCCAGTGGCCTGGTCTAAGGCTATACTTATAAGAACATAAAAATGGCCGTACTGGGTCAGACCAAAGGCCCATCTAGCCTAGTATCCTGTCTGCCGACAGTGGCCAGTGCCTGGTGGGATGAACCGAAGACAATGATCAAACAATTTGTCTCCTGCCATCCTTCTCCAGCCTTTGACAAACAGAGATCAGGGGCACCATTCCTTACACCTGGCTAATAGCCTTTTATGGATCTAACCTCCATGAATTTATCTAGCTCTTTTTAAAACTCTGTTATAGTCCTAGCCTTCACAGCCCCCTCTGGCAAGGAGTTCCACAGGTTGACTGTGCGCTGTGTGAAGAAGAACTTTCGTTTATTAGTTTTAAACCTGCTACCCATTAATTTCATTTGGTGTCCTCTTGTTCTTATGTGATGGAAACAAATAAATAATTTTTCTTTATTCACCCTCTCCACACCACTCTTGATTTTATATACCTCTATCATATCCCCCCTCAGTCTTCTCTTTTCTAAACTGAAAAGTCCCAGTCTCTTTAGCCTCTCCTCATATGTGACCCTTTCCAAACCCCTAATCATTTTAGTTGCTCTTTTCTGAACCTTTTCTAATGCCAAAATATCTTTTTTCAGGTGAGGAGACCACATATGCACACAGTATTCAAGATGTGGGCGTACTATAGTTTTATATAGGTGCAATAAGATATTCTTCATCTTATTTTCCATGCCCTTTTTAATAATTTCTAGCATCCTATTTGCTTTTTTGACTGCTACTGTACACTGCGTGGATGTTTTCAGAAAACTATCCACGATAACTCCAAGATCTCTTTCCTGATTAATTGTAGCTAAATTAGTCCCCATCGTATTGTTTGTATAGTTGGGATTATTTTTTCCAATGTGCATTACTTTACACTTATCCACATTAAATTTTATTTGCCATTTTGTTGCCCAATCACTCAGTTTGGTGAGATCTTTTTGAAGTTCTTCACAGTCTGCTTTTGTTTTGACTATCTTTTACAGTTTAGTATCGTTCGCAAACTTTGCCAATTCACTGCTCACCCCTTTCTCTAGATCGTTTATGAATAAGTTGAATAGGATTGGTCCTAGGACTGACCCTTGGGGAACACTACTAGTTACACCTTTCCATTCTGAAAATTTACCATTTATTCCTACCCTTTTTTCCTATCTTTTAACCAGTTCTCAATCCATGAAAGGATCTTCCCTTTTATCCCATGACAACCTAATTTACACAAGAGCCTTTGGTGAGGGACCTTGTCAAAGGCTTTCTGGAAATCTAAGTATACTATATCTACTGGATCCCCCTTGTCCACATGTTTGTTAACCCCATCCAAGAACTCTAATAGTAAGACATGATTACCCTTTACAGAAACCATGTTGACTTTTGCCCAACAAATTATGTTCTTCTACATGTCTGACAATTTTATTCTTTACTATTGTTTCAACTAATTTGCCTGGTACTGACGTTAGGCTTACTGGTCTGTAATTGCCAGGGTTGCCTCGAAAGCCCTTTTTAAATATTGACGTTCTGCTAGCTGTCTTCCAATCTTTGGGTACAGAAGCTGATTTAAAGGATAGGTTACAAACCACAGTTAATAGTTCTGCATTTTCACATTTGAGTTCTTTCAGAATCCTTGGGTGAATGCCATCCGGTCCCGGTAATTTGTTTCTGTTAAGTTTTTCTATTTGTTCCAAAACCTCATCTAATGACACTTCAATCTGGGACTGTTCCTCAGATTCATCACCCACAAAGGATGGGGCAGGTTTGGGAATCTCCCTAACATCCTTGAGAAGGACGAAGAGCAGCATGAATGAAACAGAATCCAGCCACAAGGAGGGAGATAAATAATGTAGGCTAGTAAAAAAGGGAACACAACTTGGAATAATGGGTTAACATTAAGGGCACGTCTAAATTACTTTTTTTTCAAAAGAGGATATGCAAATTCTGTGGGAATTTGCATATCTTCTTCAGATCTCACTTTTAAAAGAGGATCTTTCAAAAGTGAAAGTAGTCTGGATGTGGTTTTTTTCTGGAAAAAACCTCTTTTTCGAAAAAACTGCGTAAACCTCATT